TGTACCTTTAATGCAATAAAACTGAAAGGTCCCATTTCTTGGTCTGTAAAGACATCAAGAACAGTTGATCAGTCAAGGGAAAATAGTATTTGACCAAAACATGGGGGTGATCCTGTAACGGCTTTATTTTCAGTTGCTAAAACCAATACCTAAATCGGGTAACCTGCTGCAGGTTTTTTAATCAATATTTCATAACCAATGTTCTTTAGTTTCTTTAAAAATACTTACAGGTATGAAAGTGTTTGTGTAGGTGTAATGGTCTTTTTTACATGGACAACCAATAAATTAAAAATGTAAACAATGAAACACAGTGTTGTCCTGCACAAACATGTACCCTAGTCTATCTATTCTAAGCAGGGGACACAGGAAGATCCTTATTCTAATGATGTGGTGGGTCACTGACAACATGGTTAATACCATACCACTCTAAGAACCTAAAGATAATCAGGGTGACTGATCTCAAGCTGTTCAGGAAAAAAGCCCTTTCCACTTTAAAAAAATGGGTGTGACAGAGCATGCACGAGCCCATTTCTCCTCGTGCACGCCGTGTTTAAAATGTGCTGTTCTCATAGCTCATACAAGCTTACTGTGTCAATTTACAGATGAGACCATATAGTGGACATTATAGCGAACTCAGTTAACTGGCCGTTCAGACCGATGATGACCTTTTTTGCTCCGTGGTAACATAACTTCTCTTCTACTGTGCGGTGCCTGCGCCATCTTTGTTATTAGTTGCCGCTGTCGGGTAGCGACAGCCTATGGCGAAAGCGGGAAGCCATGACAGCAAATCCCATAATGCTTTGTGAGGAGAGCTCTCCCCGCAAAGCGTTCCGGGATATATCTGCCTCTTCTGAGGCCTTTCTTTTCTTATCATAGGTACTTTTTCTCTTACGACCCTCAGCGATTTTCAAAGAGCCGCCGTGAGAAAGGTGAGCTTCAATCACTGGGTGAAACCTTAGCTCATATATGCCTGAAAGTGCACATGCTCAGAAAACGTTAGCTAACGGGACGATCATGTAGGATGGCCTTACGGAAACATATCACCAGAATGACTGACGATTAGGAAGACAAATTATTTAGATGATCCACCTGGAAATAAAAGATCCTCTATACCTTTAAGTAAATTTAATGTGTTGGACCTGTGAAAATTATACGCTTATAATTAGTATTTAGAAGAACTTGTAAAAAGTTGAAAATTCCCTCAACCAGGGTCTCTAGATTCCTTCCTATTGATGTTCCTACAGAAAACAAGAGGAAATCCGTTAAATCTGTGATGACTGACAGCTTATTCAGGCCGTTCCTCACCTAGTTTCTAACAGATATTCTTTCCTTCAAGAATTATATAGGTATCAATAATTGATAGATGGAGGAAAAGAACCACTGCAAAGTTGCAGATCTAAAGGAAAATATGATTTTCTCTCCTAAAATCTTGACAAGTTACCCCCTGCATTTAGCATGCTTTTTGTTTAGTTTTTCTAAATCAATCTGAGAAAAATGTACCTGTAAGCTGGCAGCGTCTTCATGCCATATCTCAGAGCATCCTCCCACTGTCCAAGGTGAACAGCAGCATCTAAAGCCAGGTCTGTAACCCTCAGCTTATACAGGTTTTCATCAGGAACTTCAACTCCAGCAGCTGATAAGAGACGGCCGCAGCTCTCCAACAACACCTGCCAATCTATAAGGAGAAGAATGAAGGAAAAGGAACAATAATGCTGAACATCCAATCTAATCCTGTAGACTCCTGAGGGAAGTCTGAGGAATTTTTCAACATAAATGTACAAAATAAATGTGAAAAAATATTTTATATTATTTCAATTTACATCAGATTATTTTATATTAACAGCAGAACTCAAGAAGTGATGCTAGTTAAAGGGAATCCCAGTTTCCTATGGTAGAAACAGGGAAAGGATACTTGACTCAGCGTTCAGTTCTTCCAGTTTGGGTAGCGCCACCTTCAGCTGGAGCCAATTTTCTTCTTCCCCTGACAGCATGAGTTCTTCCTAAACATAAAGAAGTGAACAAACAAACGGATGATAGTTTGAACTAGCCATATAGCTTGGTCCTGAATCATCTTGAAAACACATATTTTGGGCATTTATGCAAACTGACAGAACAACACACTGGTAAACAGGAAATTGGATTAGTGTAAGCAGAATTCCTTTATCACAAATAAGATAATAATAAACAGATCTGGGGAAAATTATTCATATTACTTTAAACATTTTCATGATGGAACGCACACAAAAGATTTCCGCGCACTTTTATCCATGAAGCATTTCCCTTTTTAATGCCAGTTTCTGGTGAGAAAGCCCTTCATCATTTTTAATTAGCTGTGTCAGATTAAAAACTGAAAGATACAAATGCACACCACATTCGTCAGATTTTCACCGTGCTAAGTTCAAGGTGTATGCAGGGTACCTTTCATTTATCTGACACTGTCTGAGGGATGCAGCACTTTTTAAATTGTCACACAAAGTCATACAAAAAAACGGTCAAAGATTACGAAGAGAGAAATGTGAAGCTACCAGGAACCCTTATCCTCTATTGTTGCAATATTCCAGATCTGCAGCCTACCTGCAGCGCCCAGAAGCACAAAGTGTTCAGTGCTCAGAGATGGCCAAGGTAAAGAAGGCTGAAACCTGTCACTGAACAGGACATGCAAGTTAAAACATCAAGACTGGGCCAAGAAATATCTAAAGTCAGTTTTGTCAAAGGTTTTCTGAACCAATGAGATGAGAGTGACTCTTGACGGACCAGATGGATGGGCTGTGGCCTTACCACTAATGGGCACAGAGCTACGATGCCAGCAAGATGGATGCAGCGTACCGGTATGGGCCATTGTTATCAAAGAAGAACTAGTTGGACTTTTTTGAGTTGAAGATGAACTCAACTTCCATGCCTAATGCTTTTTTTTTTAAGTAAACACTTTCTTCAAACACTAATGCAGATTAAAGTCTGCATCTTTCAAGAGGACTTTGATTTTTCCAAAGGATAATGCTCCATCATATTAATGGAGGTGCTCCACTATGTGGCTTGCCGGTACAGGCCTTAAAGATAAAAGAATAATGACGTGAGGCCTTCCCCATCTGACCCGAAATATAGAAAAGTTACATAAAATTAAAAAAGTTAGGTGGGGAGATTTTCAATTTTAATTAATAATTCTTCTCACCAATAGTTAGGCTATAGTTGTGCACACATAGATATTCTCCTAAGAATTCCAAAATCTCACCTTTACTTTCTTAAAAATTTATGTTTGAGGGTTTATTAATGATATTAACCAAGAATACTGTAGTTGTTCATATTAAAATTAATCCATAAAACTTTAACTAGCCTAATAATTATGAGCACAGTGTATTCTATAAGAACATAGTATAGCAATGCACTTTCTATAAGAGATATGCTTTCTTTTTATGAGCTGTTTCACATCAGAAACGGTGCACTTTACAGATCCAACTGATTTAATACAACCGTGCTGCCATTTCATCAGGTGAAACCTGAGCAACCCCTCTTCATCAGCTCGACATTAAAGTGGCTGACAACACAGTGTGCGTGTTGCATTAACAACAAAGGTTTGCCAAGTAACCTGAAAGCCATTGTCCTACAAAACCAACTGGCACACACACACACCCCAGCCTGAACAGGCGTGGCAATTTTGCAAGTCGCTGCATTGGGGAAATGTCATTTAAATCCCAGTATAGAGACATCAAAGACAAAGGTGAAGGTTGACATAAAAAGATGAGAGGAGTAGGGGAAAAGTAAACAGACGGACCAGGACAGAGGCACTGAAATATCAGTGCAGGGAGATGGAACGGGCATAGATGAATGGAAAAGAAAACTGCTGCTGAAAGACAAGATAATTTTCTCATTTTTCAGTAGGTGGCCCGGCAGACATAGGAAGGGTATGAGGAGGTGGAGCGTAACAGAGTGACAGAGAAGAAGAGGAGGACAGCAGGAGATAAGAGAGCATGTCGGAGTGAAGGAGGAAGAAGTAGAGGAGGACAGGAAAAGGTACACTGTGACACGTTATGCACCGACACGCTGTCTGAGCAGCAGAACACAGGTGAATGTGTGTGAAAGATAGAGGGAGGAGGTACATGCATGGGTGTGTTTTAACTTCTCTAAACTTTTTGTGGATCTAAGCAGCAAAAGCTCCCATTCTTCTCCCTTTTGTAACTTTTTTTTAAATCAGTTTTCATTAAAAAAAAAAAGAACTCACCATTTGCATCAAGATAAATTGGCAAAATTTAGTTTTCAATTTTGGAATGTAGGTGTACTATAAACATCCAAGTTTCTCACGCGGAGCTAAAGGCATGGAAGAGTTTACATTTCCATAAGATTAAAGGTGTTACATAAAGTAAACACATGTGTAAAATTTGCATTTTAATCATTTGGACTCAAGTAAGGCTTATGTGACTTGCATTAGGAACCTCACTAAATATGGAAAATAATGCCTATTTAGTGATACAAAGGCTGTGATATTTTTTTCATAAGCATTAAGAAAATAAATGAAATATTGTTTGCTTATCTGCTTACTTTTTCAGAAACATTAAAACTGAACATTCAGAACTTTTACCATTTACTCTACTTGCAGTGTTCATTCCGGTTTTAGGAGAGAATTGTGCCACAAATCCATTCTGAGAAACATGCTGTGAGATAATCTGCAGGTAGAACCTGTTTGTACTCTTATCCTCAGAATAAATATTAGGTAGGGAGGGACTTAGGGGCAAGTTGACACAGAGCAACATCAAAAGGATAAAACCCATGCAGGATCTATGCAGCAGAAACGCATACTTCATTATATTTCCTTTTTACCAGTTTGACTTATTCTAATTTAAAAGTCTTTCTAAACAAACAGTCCATCAGAAGCTGCAAAACTTTAGAGAGGTGTGGATGCAATGTTTTTTATGCTGTGAAAAGTTGCTTTGAAAGCTACTTGTTTGCTTTTCAAACATTATAAAGGTCAGTCATGATTTATTTATTTTTCCTTTACTCTAAAAATAATCCAGCTCCAACTTAAATAAATTGCTTCAATTGCTAAAATCAAGTTACATCAAGTTCATTTAACTGAAATTATTTAGTTTATAAGTTGCAAAGTTAAAGAAATCAAGTTGGGCAAACTTAATTTAAATTACTTAAGTCGGAGCTGCATTCTCTTTTTAGGGTTTATTTCAAAATTAATAGGTTGCATAGCTGTAAAACATTATATATGTATTAAAAGATTCATAAAACGTAACAACATGTATCCGGCATTGGTTATGTTGCAATTTATCAGATGAGATTTTTTTTCTAATCCTACCAGTGACTTATGACAACCATGTCAAACCCACATCTAAAAACCCAAGGTATCCTCTGAAGGTACCGTTGGATATACACTGACATCAGCAGTTTTGACGTGAGAAGATTCAGGATGTTCCCTCAACTATCAACTATCACTATATGGAAACATGCTGTGAAGCCATTTTAAGCTGGGTTAAATTGTTGAAACACAGATAAAGAATTTCCCAAAGATTTCTGAGAAGGATATGGATGATTTCATAAATGCACACCATTTAGGTGTAATTTTTACTTTTTTGTTTTTTATTATCTTGGAGAGAAACCCAACAATTTCCTTTGTGGACCAATCTTCTTGATTGAATGGAATACTCCAAAAACAAAATATCTCTGGAGTATAAATACATGAAGATTTAACTAATAAAATGGAACAATAAAAAGTTGGAAAAACATCTCGCCCAAAAATTTACATTGTTTTACTCCCGGTTTGGATTGTGATTTTGAACTGATATATATATTAAAAAAAAAGTGATTGCAGAGTGTTTTTTTATGATTTCTGTGTCTCTTGCCTCTTGTTTTGAGTCACATCTCTGGCAGCGGCAAATGAAATGGTACTGCTCCTCCAGCTGCTTCTGCCGCTCTTCAGTCAAGGACAGAGTCTCGATGTAACTTATAGTTAACTAAAAACAGGAAAAAGAAAGTGACACAAATATTGAAGTGGACGCAAGTCCTTTCAACAGTACTTTTGAATATATTGTCACAGTGTAGAGCACAGTTCGTGTGATTCTCTGAAAAAGGACAAAACTGATAAATCTGAGTAAAACTGAGCAGGAATGAAACTCTGCTCTGGGAGCATTGTGTGTGGGTGTGTGAGAGTCTCTTCGTCCAGATGGCATGGATGAATCTCATTACATATAGTCACAATGCATCTCATTACACACAGCCACGAGGGATGATGGAAGAAAAATGGGGAAACACTGCCGAGTTAGAAGCTGTCATCCTGCTTATTTTACAGAGATGTTTCACTTGGCTACAGATTAAATAACCCATAACAACGTTAAATTCATCCTGCATCTATTGATATTTGTTAGCACCTGTACAATAAATTTTATTTTATAACAAACCAATTCTATTTGCAGATCATGCATCAACGAAGGTAAAATTATTATTGCAAAGTAAATAAATATTGATAAAATGTGGGAACATAGAAGCAGATGGAACGTAATCAATGAAAGCAGAATCGTGCTCCACATGCTGTAAACATCCAGAATGTATTTCCTCCTTCTTACCTCCTCTTGAGGGCTGATATCCTGGACAGCTCGGAGCTGCAGCCTTGTTCCCTCAAACACCATCACACAGTTTGGCCGACAGTCATGATTTAACAGGGATAAACTGAGGCAGATCAGACATGAAGGAAGGAGATGAGAGGACACAGGAGGGAGAGGAGGAGGGAGAGGAGGAAAACCAGTGGGAGTAGGAAAGGTGAGGAAAAAAGTCAGGGGACAAGGGAGTGGAAAAGGGGTTAGAGGGATACGATCATTTGTGAACAGATTTCAAATTTTTTTGTGTAAAATATGTCATATGAAAAACTAAGATATAATTATCTTTAAAAAGAAGAGCTGAAGTTCATATTATGTCATACAGAAGATTAAAAAATAACTAAAGATTTTTCCAAACTTCAGTTTAATTATTTATGAAATATAAAAATTAAACCACACCCTAAACTGATTTTATAATATTTAAGCTCATTGTTAAAAAAAAAACAAAAAACAACAATGATTCATCAAAGCATGTTGCAGTGAAAAAGCATTAGAAATAATATTAATTCATACAGTTTTATTTAGCAGGGACACAAAGTTCTGGTCAGAGGCTTAAACACATTTGCATGATAAACATACATGTTGGGCTTCATATGATGGATTTTAATGATTTTCGGCGACTTTTTCAAACAAGTTTAAGATCACCAAAAAAAAAAAAAAAATCAAGGGATAGAGTGTCGGCCCCCACTCAATTATTGTCAACTTCATGCTGAAATGAAGCAGCAATTTAGAGACCTTCTGGAGAGATTTTTTTAACTGTGAAAGTTGACAAAAAGGCTGAAGTAAGCCGGAAGGTGTCGAGTGAGCCTGACACTGTAAGACCATTAAGAAATATCAAAGTTACTCCACGGTGGGGATTGTGATGACGGCAGTTCTGCTGCTTAAAACTAAAGTCCATGGAGTAATAAGACAACTTCCAATTCTACCAACTCTGCCACATGGAGTGATCATATGTCCAAAAGGAATAATGCAGGAACCGAAATTAGAGGCATAAAAAGGAAAATGTTTGTTACTTTTTGTGGAATATTTAAATATTGCAGTGTATGTTTATATTTGAGCAAGTATTTATAATTTTGATATTGTGTGTGTTAAAGAAAATCTGCAACAAATTCATATTTTTTGATCAAATGTTTTTATTTTGTTGTTTGTTTATCATTGAAGTTGCAGGCTGTATTACATATTGAGCCACAAAGAAGAACACTATAATATAAATATGCAGTGATATTAAAATCTGGGCCAATATGTGATGATAATATTGTCAATATAAACAGTAACAAATAGGTTGTGAACCCAATTACAAGTTACATCAACGTAGCATCTCCAGACCTCCTGCATTGCATTAGTGCAGTCTACAATGTATATAGTATATAGCTATATACTATACACATACAATATCTTATATCTTGTTTAGAGTATATTGTTTATTTTATATTGTCCATTTACCAACTCAAATTCCTTTAAGTGCAATCCTACTTGCAAATAAAATTGGTTCTGATTATTTTTAAATGTTCCCACGTCGCAGATTTTGCTTCTCTGCTTCAGTTTAATACAATCATCTGCATCATTGTCACGCACCTATTCTAACAAACTGAACTTTTATACATAAAACAGCTTTAAGTGGATCTGCTCTTTTAAAGGTTATAATGTCTGAACAGTTGTTTAGGGTGACGTTCATGGAGTTTAATGCCTCCTTAATTACATCCTAAGAGGAGTTATTAAGGTCAAATCTTTTATAGGAACGTCAGACAGTGAAAACTGCATGTTTGGAACGAGATTAATACAAAGTACAAAAAATAAATTACCCATACACACAGGATAGTATACGGAAAAATGAAGCCCTCTGCTTCTGTCATAACAAAAGCTGCTCTTTACTTCTTTCTGTCAACATCTTACAGACATCAAAAACAATACTACTCAACTTCTGTCACAACAAGTTCATTTCATTTCCCAGATCTATGTTCTGGTTATATTTCTCTTCTTTTGACATCAATAGAGGGATTTCAATCAGCATTCCTGATGCACATTGTAAGCCTGCCAGTATGAGAGGGTTTATGAATAATTAAGCTTATTTTAATAAATAACTTTAACTGGTTTACCCAATTATTATTTTAAAATATGAAACTTTTTTCAATTTACATCTCTGAAGTATACATTTCATGTATAACACGTTATTCTAGCATATCTTCCCCACTGACACTGGATATAATAAGTTCATTGTTATAAATTATGCCATTATAGAAACATTTAAGTATTAGGTAAAACATACGGTTGACCTAATCAGGGATGTTCTGCTAGAGATCGACATTTTTAAAGAGCAGAAAGAAGTTGCAAAAATGTGAAAAAAACAGACCACTAGACTTTTTTTTCGAGTTTGAAGACTTCTTGCTTTACATCCAGAAAGGGATGGATGGATGGATGGATGGATGGATGGGAAGCTAAACGTCTTAAAACTTGGAAAACAAAGTCCAGTGGGTTGTTTTTTAACTGTGACCTGGATGACTGAGAATCTCCATCAGCAAGCTGCAAGAAGAGACTTTTTTTTTTAATTTAATATCACCAAATTTTATTTTATTTAAGGTTTATTGAACCAGGGAGGGACCAGAGGGAGTCCTGCCAGAGGCAGCAAAACTTGCATCTAAATGAAAACAAACAACACATAATTATGTTACAGTCTAAAACAATTAAAGCAACACTGTGTACTGTAAGTTTGGAGTAAAGTATAAGTTTATGTAAAGATGTATTAATTTTCATGTCAATATACAGTATTTGTCAAATATTTATGCTGAACTACTAAAAAAACTATCCTATGTAACTTAGAGTAGGGTTTCTTAACCCTGGTCCTCAGGGCCCACTGTCCTTCATGTTTTAGATGTGTCTCTACTGAAGCACACCTGATTCAAATGATTGCATTTCCTCCTCGACAGCAATCAGATGCTACAAAAGCCTTTTATGTACCTTTTCATTCAGGTCAGGTATTTTGGAGGCAGGGAAGCACCTAAAACATGTAGGATAGTGGGCCTTCAAGACCAGGGTTAAGAGGATCTGTTGCTGAATTAATCGTGTGACCTAGAGCGACAGTTTAGAGCAATTAGGTAACAAAATACATACAGTATGACACTTACATGATCAGATATAGTATTGTTTCTCTGATGTGGAATTTGATTTAGAGGGGTGAATGTAGCCTTGTCTTTACCAGTAACTCCATATTCCAAAACACCAAGGTAGACTAGTTAATGCTGTGCAGTACAGTGTTAACTGTTGCTTTTAAGGGCACTGAACTAAGAAGTTACACCTATCAATCTGAATGACTAAAAGGGTCTCTTTAAGATACAATTCAAGAAAAAAAAAAATCACAATTTATGAAGGTTATCTCTAGGATCTTTGTCTGGTCTTAAAGGTATAGAGGACGATCTTTTATTTCTGGGTGGACCATCTAAATAAGTGATCGTCCTAATTGTCAATCATTCTGGTGAGGTGTTTCCTTAAGGCCGTCCTACATGCTCGTCCCGTTAGCTATCTTTTTCTGCGCATGTGCACTTTCAGGCATATATGTGTGGTGAGCTACGGTTTCAGATAGTCATTGAAGCTTTGAAAATGGCTGAGGGTCATAAGAACAAAAGTGTCTAAGAAGTGTATGAGAAGAAAAGAAAGGCCTCAGAAGAGGCAGATATATCTCAGTATTAAATTTGCTGTTACAGCCACCCGCGGTCACCATAGGCTGCTCCTACCCTACAGCAGCCACTAATAATAAAGAGGAGGAGTTACATGACCAACGGGGAAGTGATCATCTGTTCGAATGGCAAGTTGACTGAGTTCACTATAAAGTCCACTACATATTCCCGCTCTTTATAGTGATTGAGGGATTTAGGGGTTAGGGCGGTTGCTCGGGCACAGTAAGCTTGTATGAGCTATGAGAACAGCAACTTTTAAAGGAGAAGGCTGGTCATATTAAACATACTTTAAACATAAAATTATTACATACTGTTCAATGCATAAGTGTCATTAATTATTAGGTATTAAATAGGTATTTTTCATTTCAATGTGCTTTACTGGTTTGTGATGTCACAGAGCAGTATCGGCTGTTGAGCAAGTCCCGTGCTGTTTCTGGTGTTTGTCACAACGCGCTATTATCCAAGTCATCTTAAAAACATTCTTCTTCATTATTCTTCTTCTACATATAACGAGTGAGGTCATCCAGTAAAAATTAAAAGGTTTTTATACATACCTGTAACACACCTGTAAGACATTTCCCTCTAGGATGGATACAGACACAGTGGGGTGTGGTTCATTTGTAAATGAACAAAAACTAGAAAAGAGCTCTTCAAATCTATCCCTGTGACAGAATATCTGAATAAAACGAATATTACATTGATTGGCCTCTGCAGAGCAGGATGACCAACAGAAGAAAAAATCCAAGACATCGGGGGAGCAGGAATGCATCTTAAAGTTGCAGCATAGAAGCTCTCAAACAGTGCAGCCTTGACCTTCAATATGATCGTGAAGATGAATCAGACCTAATTGTTACGTAACTTTGATCACACAAAACAACTTAGTATATCATAGCAGTATTTGCATAAATTAACTGAAAATTTAAGCATTAAACCCAAGAGAGAGTCTGCAAAATGGATTTTTACCCGAAACTAAATCTTTAAATCTCTACCTGATGAGTATATTACCTCAAGCATAATGAGAATTAAAGTCATTTTAAGGAGCCCACCACACAACAAATAGACATTTAATATTACTGCACATGTGGCTGGGAAAAAACACTGGAGGGGGTTTGTGTGCTTTAACAGCGCCTCCATTACTGCAGCTATCGTTCATCATATTCAGCGAAACAATGGGTGCATGAGATTAGGAATGCGTGTTCAGCCTTTGTAAAACCATCAATAACGCCCCTGGCTTTGCTCTACAGTGGAGTAGTTGCAGGTTGAATACCAACTAGACGTCAAGCTACCGAAAGATGCTTTTATCTTGAAGGAGAGCAGCTCATTAGCATGTTAATCAGAATAATTGACTAAACCAAGTCTCACATAAACGTACCTTGGAGAGTAAATGTTGCAGTGTAGCAGAGTGGAGTGGGACATGTGAAAGTGCAGAATATGATTCCTTACATTGAGCCAATATGTACTGAGAAAACATCTTAGAACTTCCACAAGTTATTTAAAAACAAGCCTATTATTTTATAAAGCAGACATGGAGACCTCTAGCCCTCATGAGCTGCTGTCTTGTGTGATTCTGATGTTTCCATATTTTAACCTACATGACTTAGACAGCTGCATCAGCAGGCCTTTATAGAATGTGCTGAGAAAATACATTTATAACTTACAAGACCAAAACAACCCAACTCTTAAAACAGATGAAACTGAATTAGTTATGTTAAAATGTAAAAGTACTATGAAATAAGATTTAGAAAATCAGAGCTTCACAGTATGCTGTAAGCTGGTATGTTTTAGTTCATAATGTCAATACTTCTTGGCATTTCATTACTTCCTTCCTTTTTGTAGCCGTAATAAAGAACAAACAAAACATGTTTCTAATTAACTTTTAGCTAAGCATTTATACCAAAATATGGATTAAGATATTAAGATGAAAAAAATTTATACATAAAGGTTAATTAAAGGAACTAGAGGCATAAATGGAGATTCAAGAGGAACATGACTGGTGCTGCAGGTTGATGCAAGCCAAGCAGGTTGTATTCACAGCACTGCACTGATGATGCTGTTGTACTATGTGACGTTTACTTCAAGACTACTTTGTATAAATTATTATTATATGCATATAATAATATGTATATATATATATATATATACATATAATAATATGCATATATATGCATAGATGCATATATTATTATATGCATATTTAGCTTTCACATACTAATGCATTTTATTTGTTTTTGTTTCCACAAAAAAAAATTCTGATCATTAAGAAAATTCAAATGCAGACAACGATCTCCAGATGAAATTTTTTTCTCTAAATTATGAAAACAAAAACTCTATCCAAACTACCGGTAATACGTTCTTATGCAAATAACCACCATTGAGCGTTTTTAGGACTTTTTCTAATCTGAATTAACTACGTCTGGACTAGTCGTCGACTGTTAAAAGGCTGAACACTCTTTGGAAGGTTGACTCCATGTTTTCTCTATTTGAGGATAATGGAAGCAGCATCCATTCGTTTTAGTCCCACAGCCTTAGAAATGGTGTTGTAACCCTTTCCGGACTGATTGATGACGTTTTCTATCAGCTCCACCTGGTCTAGCTCTACTTTTGCTGCAGCTTCTGTTTAAGTGTCATCTTGATGTAGATGCAGAAATCATGGTTGACGGTGGCTTGTAAAACAAACTAAATTAACACGATTAATCCCAATTAATTCTTGATTTACCGACATGGGGTAAAAAAAATAGTAAACTAAGACAAATAATGTGAAAATTCATCTTTAAAAAATGCTTCAAAAAACTAAAACAGAATTAACTTTAATATGAGAAATTAACAATGTCAGGCAGTAGTGATAAACAATGAAAAATATTCTAATTTCACTAGTTACAATCTCTGAACAGGGTTTAAAAGAGAGGCTTCAAATCCGGTCCCCCTGCAAGAAGCTCAGAGAGTAAGTTAGCGCCTCCTATTCGTAAATATTACAACTAAGGTTGTTGGATTGTAATCAAGGTATAGCAACCTCCCACCACAAAGCTACATCCAAAAGTCCAACCTCCATACAATCGCAGATTTCTACCTGCTTTTATCTGATTTGGCCCTGGTTACTGTAGTGGTGATCCAGTATAGTTAAAAAGGAAACAAGCTCACAGCTAAATGATCTTGAAATGAGCAAAAATGTCTTGAATGAAGTGTTTGAGTAGGTAAATACGATGATTTTCAAATGGAATTAGTTTTTTTTTTTACTCTTAAAATAAGATATTAGATAATATGCACTTGAAATGATGAATAAAAAGTTTCCTTTAATGGAAACACACCTTTATTCCTAACAGAGTACTCATAAATTCTGCAGGATAATAAGCACTGAAGCAATGATGTAGGAGGAATAATTAGGAGAAAAAGCCAACTGAACAGAAAGAAGTACTTTCTGAAAAAGAGACAAAATAAGAAAATAAACAGACTAGTTGAACTGAGGTGCAACCTTAGCAGAATAATCCTCCCTTTCTTTAGCTAACCCATGGTTGCTAAGCAACCTAAAATACGAATAGGCAGGGGAGCATCCTGCAAACGGGTGCATCATTAATGGATGAGTAAAGACACAGCTCACACCCAGACACAGTTTGGCTGAGCTTCACTGATGCCGCTGTGACCATCTGACATCTCAACGTCGGCCAGATAAACTGGCTGGGAAACCTGCAGCATTAGTGACCACAAGCATGACTGTGCGTGTAGCAGCAATAACAGCATGTACAACAACAGGCCAAATCCCACCCCATTCACCCAGGAAGCAATAGAGGGATTACTGAGCGTATCGGCATCCTGTGTGTGTTTGTGCATAGATCTTTTACTTTCACAGTCCAGGCAGAAACCGTTTCATCATTTATACAGCGGCTCTAGTCAACTCTCGTTTTTTCCATAAAAAATTTGGCTTCTGTCGTGGAAACGTTGTGATGATATTCTTTCCATTTTTTTCACCTAACAAGGAAAAAATAACTCATGTCCTCTCTCCTACTTTCCTTTGCTCCTGACTTCAAAGAAGTGTCAGGCCAGAGCGGGAAGCACTGTGAGGGCTTTGAACGAGCGTGAGCGAAGGACTGATGGGGCAAATACTGTATCTCCAAGCTGCTTTTTAATCCTGTGAAAGTTACAGGTCTGGGCAAGATGAGTTATACTAAAATTAATTGAACATTTTACTTCTGTGGGCTTCAAATCCTGACATTTTATACATGCAAGACTAATAAAAGAAATCGTGTGGTACCTTGGATAGAGCCCCACTCCAACCTCCTGCAGCTCCCCGTCACTGATGGTGAAACAATTACACGTCACCTTAAGGAGAAATAGGGAATAAAAAAAACAAGACAAGGGAGAGAGAGTTATTATCAGTTAAAATGCTTCAGGGATTCAACAATATCTCTAATCATATGTTATTCTCACAAAGCTCTGGCATTTGCTGAACCACAGCAGCGCTTAGATGAAACCTTGCATGAAGACACAGGTGTTTAGATTGTCTGAAATTACCACCAGGTTATTTTTAACAGAAAAAAAAAACTATTAAGAAGAGAAACAAAGGGTTTTGAATAAAAAAACTGCAGCAATGCCTCTACCAGAAATAGAAAAAAATATATATCTGGAAGTTGGAAAAATTACACAAATTCAGACAAAAATCTAATCTAAATCTAGTTTAGTCCAAGTTTGAGATAATCTTTCAGTTTAGACACACTTTATTGTTATTAGGTTTTCAACCAAGTTATTCTTTATTTGTGTCAAAGAAGAGAGGGAAATAAAGGCAATTAACTAATTAATTAAAGGGCTGAAGGTAATGCTTATGTTAGAATGAAACGGATAAAAAATAAAAGCTTTCAGTTGTTTCGATCAGCTAAAGCTCAAAGATCAACCTTTTACTGAGAAATCTCAGAAAATCGCCACATTGAGGCTTCAACTGGAAAAGTCCTGCAGTGAATTAAATGATTTAGCTGCCAACAAGTTCGAGTAAACAAAATTAATTAAGACTACAGGAAATTTTAACATAAAACATCCAGTGAAGTAAAAAAAAACAAAAAAACATCTCTGATCTAAAATAATGTTGGAAAAGCTTTGAATGACTGGGATCATTCAAGTGTTTGGTAAAAATCCAACTTGGAAATAAAACCACTTGAAGCACCAAGAGTTTCCACAGACACACAGTGAAGAGCCTGGACAGGAGGAGCATTCATAGAGCGGCAGTTTGGATTAGTTGAAGGAAAACTCAGTGGAGCAGAGCTTCCCTTTCTACAGTTCATTTAATTTAGATAGTTATTTACATAGAGATGTAGTTATTCACACTGGAGCACGTTTTGGTCCCAAACCTCTATAATAAAGCAGAATTCTGAAAAGAACATGTTGTTTGATCGTCTGTACAGTAGATTTCAAATCTTCCACCTGCATTCCAGCGCAGAGCATCGCTGCCTATTAGTTAATGACTACAGGTCTTATGTTTTGCTAATCATACCTCAGATTAATATGTCGCTTTCATTCTCCATCTTTTTTTCCCCTAGCTGTTGTTTCAATTGCTCTCTCTTTCCCTTCCCCTTGCTTGATCTCTTTTTTTCCACTTAACTGTGGGGTTAAAGGAAGAACATCTTTTTGAGAATGGAAAAAAACCTCCATGGGAAAAAAAAAACCTGTAAGGTTACCTACGCAGCTTACTATTTCCTTATGTTAGATCAATGCATATATGTGCAAAATTTAGCTTTGGCCATTTCGTTTTCTACAACAAAGTAGGCAGTTTTAAGAAGCCCCTTTATTTCATCTTCATGCTGCAGTTGCACATTGTGGAAAGTGTTGGCCATTAATTGTTTTGCTGAATCTGCCTTACGTTTCTTTATCACTGCTGCAGTGGGAGAAACACCATGAGACTGGTGGCGCAAAGTTGAGTTTTTTTAAGCTTTTGCTGGTAAAGGGTACGGGACAGTAAGTTTTACAGATGAAGCAGCTCATTTCACCGGGGATAAAGCTTTAGTCAGTTAGGCTGAAATGTAAATGAAATATTGTGTAAATTAAACATTTGGGATATTTTAAAGGTTAAAGACATTGAATCTGATAACCACTGGTTTGCTAGCCAAAAACCTAAACTGCTATAAGAGAAAAGGAAGAAAGAAAAGAGCGCGCACCAGTGAGTAGCGGAAACGTTCTTCTTCATCTGAATCCAAAGAAACGTCCACATTAGTAGCTACACATCGCCATGATTTTTCAAAGAGGGAATTTCCCGCAATATAAAAATTGCGTGGATGGATTAGATAATGCATTATTCCCATTATCACGCAGTGAACAGTAAATCCAACTTTTTAATATTTTAAACCTAAACAAAATTGTTTAATTTGTATCTTTTAATTGTTTTGTTTGCAGATATTTTGGAGTTTAGAGACTATAAGTGATTGAAATTCTTTACCTTGTGTCAACTTTTGCATTGCATTTACGATAATGGTTTAATTAAATTACACTTTAATACTTAAGTAAAATTAAGCTTCTAACATTAATAAGCTGATTTATTTGTCCTTCAACCAGTAACATCCCCTGTGTTACTCCAGTTCCTTGCCTGGCTAAAAAAATTAATAAATGAAACAAAGTGCAACAACAGCTAATTTAACCTTTTCAAGCTTTATTTGCATCGCTGTAAATTTCACAGTTCCTTGCAGCTGTTTAAAGGACTGCAGAAAACTCTTCATTTTTAACAGCAGTAATAAACAAGCCATAGCTGTAAAAAGCTAATTAAAGCAATACTGTTTGGCCAAAATCATTAAAGCCCACATTTTATTTCTGTTGTACAATGTGTTTCCTTTAGACAGAAAAACGAGCTAATCTGAAACCGTTTACTTAAACTACAGCGGCTTACAGTACGGTCATGATGGATTTATCAAAATATCCTCTGTGACGGAGAGGTCAAACAATACTTGATGTAACTGAACAGATGGGTGAGCATATCGCCCATCAGTAACCATGGCAACGGCCATTTCCTCCATGCAATAAGAGCCTCCTACCTGTTTATTTATAACCTGCCTGTTAATAATGAGAGCCCTCCACAGATGTGAAGGAGTTCACATGAGGTGAAAGTGGTGAAGTGTTAGTGAGGAGGGACCGGGTCTGGAGGAGCAAAGAGGAAACAGTCTGACTGGCTGCTGTCTAGCCGGCCTAAATGAAGGAATTAAACTCTACATAATTAGATAAGAAAACCTCTGCAGCAAATAAAGAAGGTGCTAAGCATGGATGACAACCCTGATATGATAGAGACAATATCATAATTACTGTGTTGAACTTTCCCCTACTGCATCTGAACAAAAGACGCCAATCTAATAATCTTACCATATTAAGGGTTATTCTTCAGAAATCGTCCAGAGAGTGTCAGCCTCAGCACCCCTTCATTTGTTCGCCTAGTTATTTTTTTTTATAGCCTGTCATAAACAATATCCATGATATTGAGCTTTAGATGAAAGTTGCAGACGTTGAAAATGAAAGTGCGGAACAATGGCAGGCGAGCCAGCGTGGAGTGAGGAGAGTGAGCGAATGATGCTGAGATCAAACATGTCAATCTCAATGTAGACAAAAAGAAGTGAAAAAGAAAGTAATGGTGTAATTTACGGACTTGATATTGTGTCTGCAGTAAATATCTGTCATTAACATCTCAAATATTAGATACTGATCAGTATTTTCAAAAAGAAATATTCTTATTTAACTTAATAAACACATTACATTACTTAAGAAAAAAAAAACACTTTTCATTTTATTTTTTAAAATAAAAACATCTAAAGCTAACATACAATTCAGAAGATTTGAATCTAAGCTTAAGATGCTGTTTTTTAGAATTGAACAGGTAAGTGAGACACTCCAATGGAATAAGTCAATTTACATTTAAAATAAGAAAAAACAGTCTCCTATTCCAAGTGCATAATATCTAATTGTCTTATTTTTAGGCTAAACATACTGATTCCATTGACATTTCATTTTAATTAATTACTCAAATTAAGTCTTACTTTAAAAAAAAGGTGGAAACTCATTTTTAGATTATTTTTGTAGAGTAATGTTTAAGTTCATACTTGACTCCTTATAAAACATTAGAATTTAAAATACTTCCTCAATAGAAACACTAAGACTAAAATGGTGTCAAACAACAGCCCATTTTAGAATCTAACAGATCAATATTTGTGGAAAAAGCATCTAAAATACCTACAGTAGGTGACATTTTAACATTTTTAGTTAAAATAAATTCCTCCAAAGGCGGGAAAGCAGTTTTTTTAGGACAGAGATAAACCAGTTTGGTCACCCAACACTGGTATATTAAGTAGGTTTGCTTTGCCCTGTCTAGCCAGCTAAAATAAAATAAACTTGTCACTGTAAGGTTTAACTTTAAGGTAGCTGGAATTGGTTCAATTACTGTCAATCTGAAAAAACTACAAAGGCCATCAGACCAAATCAAAGGCAGTATATCTGCCACTGCTGTGTGTGTGTCTGTTTTCTTTGATAAAGTATTCATGACCTAATCACAGTACTTTCATCTCTCCATTGACAGGCAGAAAAACATAAAAACACAAGGCTAAACATCATATTCTCCCAGAGTCTGCCTGTAGAGATAGCACCAAGTAAAGACTGGATAAACTTTAAGGCAGTGAGTCGCATATTTTTATTCAAATGACTGGAGACGTTAAAAACAGGACAACAATAAATGTATGCATTATAAATCAAACTGTAAAGTTATTGAACTCTGCTTCTTCTTATTAGCCGTCTTAATTTTTCTTTTGCAAAATTTATCTTTGATGACCAGATTAGCCGATGCTGAGATTTTGGATTCCATGAACTCACTGCAGCTTGGTAGCAGAGCATAATTTGAATTAAGATTAATTTAAAATGGGTGACTCTAAAAATCGAATTTATAAGTGAACTCATAGTCTTGTTTTCAAATGATTAATTCATGCAAAAGTATTTTCTTTTTAATCAACGTACAACTGCTTTTTATACAAAAGAGGAAGATCATTCTTTCACCTAAATTAAGTTTGGTACAAAGACTTTTGTACCCACATGGTGTAAACAAAAGAGTACAGCTCTCAAGACATTTCCATTTCTTAAACTGCAGCAGTGATAAAATGTAAACATGGTGATCAAATGTAAACATAAGACTGAGATATGATTTACAATTTTTCCAACATTCAGCGCTTTTTTTTTCTTGTTTTATTCGAAATTCTGCAGCCTAATGGCAGTGCGGAAGAAGCTGTTTCAAAATCTGCTGGATGGCCTCGGGACACACAGTGCTGGAATAAAATGTCTTTAATGGAGGGAAGAGGAGTCCTGATGATCTT